TTCTCTCTCATTGATGTTTCTAACTCTCTATCCCTCTCCCTTCCTCTCTGTAAAAAATCAATAAAATATTTTTTTTTAAAGAATATATTGACTTCACTGGCTTTTTTTGTTTGTTTTTTAACCAGAAAGGTAAAACTATGTGACCCAAGATATTTTTCTTTATCCTTTTTTATAGTATTGTTTTTTAATATATATATATATTTTTTTCCTTGAGAAAGGAAAGGAGAGGGAGAGATAGAAACATCAATAATGAGAATCATTGATTGGCTGCCTCCCACATGCCCCCCACTGTGTATGGAGCTCACAAAGGAACCTGGGCATGTGCCCTGGGTTCAACCACTGAGCCATACTTGTTGGGCCTTTTATTCTTTAGCTGCCAGGAAATTCCAAGGCAAATACTAGGTTTTGTTATATTCAATAGCACATACACATTGTCATTTTAAAACATCTGCCTTGTGTGCGTCAACATCTCAGATGGTTTTTAGGAAAAAAACCTAAACTTTTTACTTAAATTTTCCAATTTAAATAGTCAAAGATTCAGAAACTTATTTTCAGTTAGTTTTAAAGACCATAAAAGCAATAATTTGGAACATTGTTTTATTTTTATTGATCTAACAAATATTACATGACTATTTTCATTGTCCTTCAGTCTATACCCAGAACTCACCTTTTTCTGATAGGTTTCTAATTGTTTGTAGTCCTAGTTTAATGAATGCTCCAGAATACAGCATTTCTGAGTGAACTTTTCCTTGTTCCAGCACGCCCCCTACTGGGGATGGAGCTCACAGTGCAACCTGGGCATGTGCCCTGACCAGGCTCAACCACTGCTCAACCCAGTTCCTTAACAAAATGCCCAGTGCCGTAACACTGTCCACACAGGGGATCCTCCCAGAACTTAAGAACACACATTTTCATTGTGCCATACGATTTTTTTTTAGGATTTAAGCACCAATTTGGAAGAACTTGCACTAACAATCCACATCCTGTCTTTTAGTTCTTGAATCAAATTTAGTGTTAACAAGATCACAGCCTTGAGAAGTGCTGTCATTATCAAAGTTTTTAGCCATTATCTGGTTTCAGCTAATGGCATTCCGGAAAGTCCTTTACCCATACTGTCTGCTCTATGATCCTGATGTGATGCTCTTGCGTTTGGTCCAAGAGAACTACAGTCATAAATTCATTCCCACATGTACTGTAAAAGGATGGGGACCTTGATCTCCTTTTTACCAGCATTCTTCTACCGCATTTTGCTTCTCACCACCTTTCCTTTACAGCAGTGGTTCTCAACCTTCTGGCCCTTTAAATACAGTTCCTCATGTTGTGACCCAACCATAAAATTATTTTCGTTGCTACTTCATAACTGTAATGTTGCTACTGTTATGAATCATAATGTAAATATCTGATATGCAGGATGGTCTTAGGCGACTCCTGTGAAAGGGTCCGCCAGCCAAAGGGGTCGCGACCCACAGATTGAGAACCTGCCTTACAGTTAGAATTCTCTAATTGAAGGGACCTGTATGGCCACAGATTGGTCATCATGTCTTCCTGCAGCTGATGGCAGTTGTTTCCCCGTTAATCACCTGTCCTCTGAGTCACTTTCAGCACCATTAGCCAAACTTTACCACCCACCACTTTCTCAACAAAGACCATGGCTTCCTTCAGGAAACCCACAGAGAAGAAAAAATGCAGGAGGAATGAACAACTCTGCCTTTCCTCTCTCCTTTCCTTTTCAAACTATAGATTATAGTACATTTTCCCATGCAAACAACCTGTAATTTAGGTGCCACATTATGGGGTCTATATAGGCTTTTATTGGCTAACCCAAAAATATCACCAGCCTTTATTACATTGTTCTTTATCAATAATGTATATTGAGGCCCAAACAACTATCTTTGGGGAGGGGGGGGAATTCACCTTATTCTCAAGTTAATTAAAATGTTATTTAAGGTAATAGCTAATTGTGATGCCATGATTAGAACCTATGTTTCCATCCCTAGATATCAAAGTAAAATAAAAAGTGTATACAGAGGTAAGGTACCATCCTTTGTATATCATGTTACCATGATGTAAAAGCAGATCACAATTTAGATAATAGTCATTCAGGTTTAGGGAATATTTTTCACTATGACGCAAGTGTACATGAAAACATTTTATTTAAATGTGAACCCTCTGGTCTTAAATCTGCTTCATATAGGTTAGTCATGGGGAGGGAGAAGGAAAAATTTGTAATAGAAAAATGGTAATAATTCTAATCCTCATTCATTGGGAAGGGGAAAAAACTGCCCTTGCTCTGTTTTTTTTTCCCCTTCAGTATATTCATTTTCTTTTCTTTTTTTTTAAAGAAATGTTTCTCTACATCTTTAAACTTATTTAAGAGGTATAATGTGGAGTGGTCAGTTTTGCATGTTAAATTTGAGCTAACAATACACTTTAAATGTTTCTTTCCTCAGTCTATACCAAAACTCACCTTTCCTGGTGGTTTACTAATTGGTTGTAGTCCTGGTTTCATGAATGTTCCCAAGATCAAAGGTACTCACACAGCAATGAAAAGTGGAGTTTTGGCAGCAGAATCTATTTTTAATCAACTAACTAGTGAAAATCTCCAATCAAAGACGATAGGTAAGAACTTCCTATTTATTTAAAGTATAGAAATTTGTCAGGTTTTTCACTGAAACATTGATTTCAAGTTGGTGAGTACTGCATTACATTACACACATATAATATACACAGTAAGATATCTCGCAAATACCAAAGTGTCTTGTCTGAAAACAGAAGAGCTGTGCAAACTACAGAATCCAGCACCATCCTTGGCAGGGTTGGCAAGCACCAGCATTTATGACACTTCTACTTTAGTGGAGAGGAACAGCTAGCACTTAAGCCTCAGTAAACCCTTAGTCTAAAAAGACCTTCTAATGACTCTCCACTTTTCTCAGAGTAAAAGCCAAAGTTCCCTCACTCCTCTGACTTCACCTTTTTACTCTTGTTCCAGTCGTATGGGCTTCCTCACTGACAGGAACGTGTCAAGCATGCTTCCTTCTCTTGTCCTTGCTCATGGCCAACTCTCTCCTTCCTTCACCTTTGTCAAATACCTCTCATAGTGAATCCAATTGATTTGCAACACACAGCACTCTCAACACGCCCCACTTCACACCAAGTTTTTTTCTATAATTTTTTCCCATCTTTGATACACTATATAATTTATCAACTTAGTCTTTGTCTCCTGCCTCTTGGAAGGAAAACCTGATTATGCCTTCGGATCTTTGTAAGAAGGGAGGCCTAGGGTGTGGGAGAAGAAGGAGATAAAGTAGAACAGAAACAGCAAGGTGGAGTGTGATGGTTGAGTAGTGGAACATTTTTCTGATTTTCTTGCCAAGTGTCTTTCCTTTTTGGACCAACTTGTCATGTAAACATAATACCGCCCATAGAAAGTACTGGAGCAAGTACATCACCAAAAACTAGGTTAGGGATTAAAGCCTGAAGGAGAGAAGTGGAGCCAGAATAGGAAATAAAGACTGGAAGGAACATAGTCACTGCCTGGCTGATGTGGATACGGGGTTGAGTATCGACCCGTGAACCAGATCACAGTTTGATTCTGGGTCACGGCACATGCTAGGTCATGGGCTAGATCCCCAGTAGAGGGCTTGCAGGAGGCAGTCGATCAATGATTCTCATCATTGAACTTTCTCTCTTTCCTTCTCTCTGAAATCAATAAAAACATTTTAAAAAGAACAGTCATTATGTAATTCACAAACGTTTATAAGAACCACTTTGTCCCATTAAGTATTAAATGCATGCACCAAGTTTTAGGTATTGTTATAATTTCCTAGGGCTGCCACAACTAAGTACCACAAACTGGGTAGCTTAAAACAACATTTGAGTTTTACAAGCTAGCAGTTTGAAATTAAGGTGTTGACAGGACCATACTCTCTGTGTAGTCTCTGGGTGAATCCTTTCTTGCTTCCCAAGCTTCTGAAAGCCTCGGGCATTCACTTGGTTTGTGATAGAATTAACTCCAATCTCTGCCTCCATCTTTACCTATCTTCTGCTTGTCTGTGCCCCATAAGGACCCCAGTCTGGATTAAGGGCTCCCTTTACTCCAGTATGACCTCATCTTCACTATTACATTTGCAACAACCCCATTCTGATCCATTCTTAAATACTGGGAGGTTTAGACTTTAAAATGTTTCTTGGGGGGTGGGTTGCGGGAGGGGGGGGGCAAAATTCAACCCATAACAGAAGTGTTTCATTGATCAATTATAATTTTTTTTTTTTTTACTTTTATAGGAAGCATAAACTCTTTATCTCAAGCTTCCTTTTCAGGTTCCGTAATTTTAAAACTTAACTTTCCATGCTACCAATATAAGAAATCAAATTTAGATGCTGCCAACATTTATAAATGAAACATTCTTTGTGTGTTCTTGTGACCACCTGTTTTTTAAATTTAAGATCCACTCATCAGATATTTCAGAAACAAAATACCTTGATCAAGTATTTTATACTCCTTGAGGCAATTTCACACTTAACATTTCGTATTTTTAATAAAAGGACTCCATGTAACTGAGTATGAGGACAATTTGAAGAAATCATGGGTGTGGAAAGAGCTATATTCTGTTAGAAATATAAGACCCTCCTGCCATGGATTCCTGGGTTTATATGGAGGGATGATTTACACTGGAATCTTTTACTGGATATTTAGAGGAATGGAACCATGGACTCTAAAACATAAAGGTAATAACAACATATTTGAGTGTGTTATAATCATTAAAAACTCATGAATGGAATCCATTAAGTAGCTGAGAAAGTTATCTTTTTTATTACTTTGTTTTAAATTTGCTTCAGTCTCTTTAAGTGAACAGCGTATCATTATTATGAGAGTAAAGTCTTATTTCTTTGGTATATTTTCAAGTTTTATAAAAGTTTTTTTTTAAGTACTTTAAAATTAGTGTTGTATATTTATTTAAAATCTTCCTCAAAACTTTTGAAGGTTCTGATTCTGATCGGCTCAAGCCAGCCAAGGATTGCACACCTATTGAGTATCCGAAACCTGATGGACAGATTAGTTTTGACCTTTTGTCATCTGTGGCTCTGAGTGGTACTAATCATGAACATGACCAGCCAGCACATTTAACCTTAAAGGATGACAGTATACCTGTAAATAGAAATCTGTCAATATATGATGGGCCCGAGCAGCGCTTCTGCCCTGCAGGTCAGTACTGTGATTTCCATTCACTCCTGTTTGCTTTAAACATGTACGAAATATGTCTCCATTGCTTGGAAATTATAAATGACTCCTATATTCAGCTTTTTTAAGAAAACATTATTTTATGGTTCTTACTCTAGCAATGTTAAAATAATAGGATTTCTTTTGAAGCCTAATTCAGAGGACATTTCTCAAGAGGTCTTTCTGTGTCTACCCTCGGACCAGGATAAGGCCCACAGAACACCAAAGAATACCTCTTTCCACATTCACATAACTTTAAAAAAAATGTTATGGTTGCATGCACACATACACACATGCACGGACGGTATATATATAGATGCTAAAATACCGAGCTATAGCCACATTCAACTCAAGAAAATGGTCCCAAATTTGAAATTCATCATGATTACTGTATCTTTTACTGCTGAGTTTTTAACTACAATTATAAAATAGTAACTGAGTCTCAAATGATACACTAAAATAGTGTTCAGCTGTGTAAAAACTAGTACACTGTGGAGAGGGACTAGAATGTCTGAGGGCAGGGACTTTGACTGTCTTTTGACTTTATTTTAATCACTCCTGTCATAATACCAGGTTATAAACAGGGTTAAGACTGGCTCTGTTGTTGGTTTTTTTCAGCTACAGTACCATAGAGCACATTATATATACAGAATTGTAACTCAAAAGCAGCCAAGATCTTTGTAATATGCTCTATGGGTAAACATTCTGAAAAAAACTTTCAAGGTTTCTGTAGCTACTATTTCCAGGACTTCAATTTCTATTTTTGAATTTTGAAAGTTGAAAAAGTTAGGTACTTAACAATATTATTTCTCTTTACAGGAGTTTATGAATTTGTACCTTTGGAACAAGGTGATGGATTTCGGTTACAGATAAATGCTCAGAACTGTGTGCATTGTAAAACATGTGATATTAAAGATCCAAGTCAGAATATTAACTGGGTGGTACCCGAAGGTGGTGGAGGACCTGCTTACAATGGAATGTAAACTATAACTAATTTCATTTGCAGGCAAGTCTGATAAACACTTTCTTTATAATGTTGAGAAATTAGCAAGTATCAACATATCAATGTAAACTATAACTAATTTCATTTGCAGGCAAGTCTGTAATATTGAGAAATTAGCAAGTATCAACATATCTTATAGCATATTACTGATCAGAATGTTCATAAAATATCAGGGAAATAATTTTATACTATACCTAAATTTGTCCCATAAAAAACTATCAATATTTATCTTAAATAAAACTTTATTAGTGATGTAGCATTTACTTATCTCTTCAATTCTTCAAAGATTCATTACTAACAGCAGAATAAACTATTGGCCTTTCATGTACATTTGACTTGCCAAATTCAAGACTTCAAGTATGAAAATAAATGTATACTGTAGACCAGAGGTTGGCATCCAGCCCACCACTTTTCTTACAGTTTTCTTGGAACACAGCCATGCCATGCCTTTTGCAGAAATGAGTAGTTGTGACAGAAAAAATGGTCCTAAAAATTTACTGTCTGGCCCTGTGAGTATAAAACACCAGCACAAACCAACCAGTTTACAGAAAGCTATATCAAAGAATTGAGGGAAATAACACAAACGTAAGCTTTCATCTGTTTATTCAACAAGATGTATCTTTAGTTTAAAAATAGGTTGAACACCATTATTCTTTGTAATACAGATAGCCGGAGGGGTGGGGTCAACTTCACTGTACTTTGTAACACTTTTATTAAGAGTGAACCAGTATAAGTATTTCTAAACTGTAAACAATGGGGAACTGAAGTATCAAAGGAAACACATTAGGGATCATATTTAATAGACAAAAATCCCTTAAATTTTCTTATTGCCTTTATACATCAATGTGTAATATTTAAGGATAACTGAATTCCTTATTAAGCAAACATTTTTGCGTATGCTGCCTTCTCTTTATCTTTCTGTGCCTTTATCTTTTGTTTGACTTTCAGCAATTCTGCCTGGATAGCTGCAAAATAAATATGTAATAGGAGTTAGTTTTCAAACATCCAAAAATTAGGTTGAACAATAAACAGATGTTTTAGTATGATAGTTAACTTCCCCTTGATAAATTCTTCTTGCCCTATTAACAAAATAATGTATACTGAGAAAGCAGTACATAATCACTAAGCATAATTTTAGAAAACTGTCTATTGAGAGAATTCAATTGAATTATACAGATTTGCCTTCTCCATTAGGGAAGTGCCTCCTGTTTTACTTTAGTATTAAAGAAGCCAAAGGTATATTTTAATATCTAGATGTAGTATCACTATTAGTAGTTGGTGTAGTTAAAAGACAACCTTATTTTTGTCATGGTATCACAAAGCTTTTCTATTAGTCTATTGGCTAGAATATTTGGGTTATGGCCACATTCAGTTTAAGGAATGGTCATAAACATTAAATTCACCGTAATAGTCATTCGGTACTTTTGACTAGAATTAAACTAATAGGAACTAGATCTCAAATGATACAGTAGAACAAATAGTATTCAGATATGTGAAGACAGTATTCTGGAGAGGGTCTAGAACAGCCGTGGGCAAACTACGGCCCACGGGCCGGATGCGGCCCGTTTGAAATGAATAAAACTAAAAAAAAAAAGACCGTACCCTTTTATGTAATGATGTTTACTTTGAATTTATATTAGTTCACACAAACACTCCATCCATGCTTTTGTTCCGGCCCTCCGGTCCAGTTTAAGAACCCATTGTGGCCCTCGAGTCAAAAAGTTTGCCCACCCCTGCTCTAGAATGTAAGCTCTCTGAAGCAGGGACCCTAACTTGCTCAATGCAGTATGATCAGTGCCTGGCCCAATGACAGGCATTCTGTAATATCTGTGGAATAAATATCTAAGTGGCAAAGGGTACAGTGTTTCATTAAGAGAAATTCTTAAAGGACAAAGTGAACTTTCACTACAAAAACTGCCAACTTACCTTTATCTTCTGGTGCTATTTCCTGAGCTTTCTTAAGATCAGCCTTTAATTGGAAAAAAGTTTTTAGGAAATATTAGGTATATGATTTATGAAGGTAGTTGTCTATTTTTAAAAAGTGAAATTTAGGACAAAATTTTACCAATGCTTGGTCGTATTCTTTCAATCCTTGCCATCCTTGAGCTCTACGGTACAGTGCTTTGGTATTTGATGGATCTATTTCAAGAGCCTAGAAAAAAGAATCAAATTAATACTTTATATTAAGTATTAAATGTATGTACTAGATTTAAATTTATTGCCTGTCAGTTCCAAATCAACCCTTCACTGCTCTGTGAAGATGAACCCTATAAATCTCTCCTCTGTTAGGTGGCACAATGTTAAGTTTTGTCAGTAGAGGGCTCTACATGGACATGGAAGAGAAAGCCAATTTCTCTTCCAGGTTCCAGTGTGCTCCTCTTATTAGGTTCCTGCAGTTTGTCAGTAGCAACTCTCCACAGACAAACTCCACAGGCACTCCAGTGAGTAGCACAAGTGTGGTGCTCAATGACTGCCTCTGCCACACAAAAGCCATGGCCATCCCCTCTCCAAAAAGGTCTGGATCTCAGCCAGAGGTCTAGAGAGGTGCCTCTTCCGAGGGGCTCCATACCCACCTAGGGGAAACAGATCTGCTGGTCCCATCACTTTAGAATCTCTTTACTAGCCAAACCCTTATTATTCCAGTCCCCTCTTATATTTTCTTTTAAAGTTCTGTATGGTTTTTATTTCCTGATTTGGCCCTAACTGATCAAAGAAAGCCATCTATACTAATAAAAGGGTAATATGCTAATTAGACCGGATAGACTGGACATCTTCCAGACAAAACCGCTGTGGCTGCGAGGGCCAAGGGCCGGCGGTGCAGGAGAGGTGGCGGCGCGGGCCAGTCCAGCGCCATGGCCCCTTCTGCAGAGGCGGCGGGAGAGAGGTGTGAGTGGTCTTGGTCCCAGTGCCCCTTCCACAGAGGCAGCCACAGAGGCAGCGGCACAGGCCCAGTCCCAGCGGCACACCTCCACAGAGGCTGGATGGGGGTGCGATCTGCTATGCCTCAAGCTCCCACAGCCCCTCCCCAGCCAGCCTGGCCCCAGATTGCCCCCCACCCACCAGCACTAAGAAGCGAGGGCTGAGGGCCAGCAGCCGCGGCAGCCGGTAGTGGCAGCAGCAGGATGATGGGGGTGGCACCTTCCCTGATCGGCCCAGTCGCCTCCCTCAGAGGGAGGCCAGACTGCGGCTTAGGCCCACTTTCCACGGGGAGTGGGCCTAAGCCATCAGTAGGACATCTCCTGAGGGTTCCCGGACTGTGAAGGGGCAGGCTGGGCTTTGGGACCCGCCCCCTCCGGTGCACAAATTTTCATGCACCGGGCCTGTAGTTTTGAATAAAAGTCTGTTTGCATGTAATTTTTTAGGAGGATGAATAACTTTTAATAGGTCTCTACTCTGAAATAAATGTTTTAAAAATATTTTTTTACTTAACATCTTTTAAAGGTCAGTACTTAGATTTACTGAAAAGGGTACATTATCTGCCTCACAAAGGTCAAAAAGAGATCCAGAAGATTGGTGAAGACTAATCTTTTCCTCTGATAACATTTTTCCTCTGTTGTACTCCATTCTAAGTATATTCTTATCCCTATTCCACCTACCCTACCAAATTCGGATCTCATTTTATTTCTCCTTGCTGTGGATGTTACTGGTCTATGTACAGAATGTGCAATATACATTAAAATTATTGGAGGTGGTCTTTTCTAAAATACAATGTTTAGTATGGAAAATTTTTCAGCTCTACAATAGGGAGAAAGTCATAATTGTGTATTTTAAGTAAGGTATGCTTTTGCTGTTAGTATTCCTGGATGTCTCCATAAAGGTGCTTAACATGTGCCCAACACTGGTAAATGCTTTACATATCTATCTTACCTAATAATAGACAAACATGTAAATTGACCGTCCCTCCACTACTCTCACCAGCCAATCAGGAGTATGCAAATTAACCCAACAAAGATGGCAGTTAATATGCCTATTCAGGCGCAAAGCGAAGACTGAAGGCTCTGGCCGGAGCAGCGAAGACTGAAGGCTGAAGAGGCTTCGCCTCTCTGCTGCGGCCGGAGCGAAGGCCTGGGTCCCGGGTGCCAGAGGAAAACCAGTGCCAGCAACCAGGGGAAGGCCTATTGCACGAATCTCTTTGTGCAACGGGCCTCTAGTCTATCTAATAATAGGGTAATATGCAAATTTGTTGGTACGCCATCACAGTAACTACCGATCATCAGGCTGTGCCCATAGCAGGTGTGGGTGGGCGGGGACTTGCAGCATCGGGGACAGGGGTGGGGCCATGGCGGGGGCCTCCACACACGTGCACCAAGGCTCCTGAGGTGCACGCGCAGAGGTCCATAGGCCTCCACCGTGGCCCAGGGGTCCACAGGCCTCCCCTGGCTCAGGCCTACCTCTTTGGGGCAATCCATCAAGGAGCCCCAGGTGGGCGATGGATCACGGGGCTCCTGCACTGTGACAGGGCACAGGCCAGGTTGGAGACCCTACCCCTACCCCTGCTCCCAAGTGCACGAATTTTGTGCACTGGGCCACTAGTCTATATATAAAAACCTAATATACAAACTGTCCCCTTGGGAGTTCAACCGGGAGTTCAATCGATCGCTATGATGTGCATTGACCACCAAGGGGCAGCACGGAACGAAGGAAGGCCCCGGCTGGCAGCCAGAAGGCCCCAATCAGCCTGGATCGCTGGCTAGGCCTAGGGACCCTAGTGTTATATAATCCTTATAATAAACCCATGAGGCAGGTATTATTTCCACTTTACATATAAAGACTTTTAAATTAGGAACTTACCCAAGATCACAAAGTTAGTGAGAGGTCTAATAAAAAAACTATGACTGACTCCATAACCCATATTCTTAGTCATTACTGGCTTTGTCTTCAAATGCCTAGCACATAACAGGTGTTCAATATGTTAAATGAATAAGTGAGCTGATACATGTGCTTTGAGGAAAAAAGGAAAAGTATCTTAATAGATATTAAGTAATACAATAAGCTAAGTAAATGGATTGAGAGGAAAACTGATGTCCAAAATATTTAGAGATGAAATGACATGTTT